ATAATTCCTCCTCTTTCCAAGCCCCACAGCTATTTTCAGCCCTCGGAGTCTGGAGCAAAGGGAAATAAAAAGCACAAAGAATGGGGGGTTTTCACTGAGCGAAGGGGGCCAACCCACCACTGGATTCGTGGTGTTGGTGGGAGACGCTATAGACGGCCATTGACGGTGTTCAGACAACAGACAAAGCCCCCAAAGCATGCAGACGCATTGGGGGTGGCTGGGAGGCGTCAACGACTCGGGGTGCCCAGGAATCCTGCCAGGTCAGGAATGGATTCCGAGCCAGGGAACGGAGGGATATTCAGATGTTGCCCTGTGTCGTGACTGCTTAAAACCAGGGTTAGTGGGACCAGCCAGAAAGAGACTGTATATTCTTGGTTTGTCTTTGTGGCCTGCCAAGGTTCCTGTTAAAATCTGCAGAGGTGTGGGAAGGGAAGGAAATAGAGAGAAAGGAAAGGAAATAAAGGAAAGGGAAGAAGGGAAGGGAAAGGGAATAGAAAGGAACTAGAGAGAAAGGAAAGAAGGGGGCGTGCATAAGCGCACCAACGTAGGGGGCGTGCATAAGCGCACCAACGTGCCTACCGTCCCTGTCCTATTGTTTCTCTTATTCTTTTATTTTTCTTATATGTACCCATTTCATGTATTCACAACTATGTATACGCTTATACTTATTATCTTGTAAACAATTGGCAAATCAAATAAATAAATAAATAAGGGAAGGGAAGAAAGTCGGGAGGAGAGGAAGGAGGGGGGAAGGAAAGAAGGAAAGGGAAGGGAAAGAAGTCAGGGGAGAAGAGGAGAGGAGGGAGGGAGGAAGGAAGAAAAGAAGGAAAGAAGGAAAGGGAAGGGAAGGAAGTCGGGGAGGAGCAGAGAGGAGGGAGGGAGGAAAGAAGGGAAGAAGGGAAGGGAAGGAAGTCGGGAGGAGAGGAGGGAGGGAGGAAGGAAAGAAGGAAGGGGAAGGGAAAGAAGTCAGGGGAGAAAAGGAGAGGAGGGAGGGAGGGAGGAAGAAAAGAAGGAAAGAAGGAAAGGGAAGGGAAGGAAGTTGGGGAGGAGCAGAGAGGAGGGAGGGAGGGAGGAAAGAAGGAAAGGGGAGGAAAGGGAATGGGGAGAAAGGAAAGGAAAGAAGGGAAGGGAAGGGAAAGGGAATAGAAAGGAACTAGAGAGAAAGGAAGGAAGGAAAGAAGGGAAAGGAAGGAAGTCAGGAGGAGAGGAGGGAGGGAGGAAGGAAAGAAGGGAAAGAAGTCAGGGGAGAGGAGGGAGGGAGGGAGGAAGAAAAGAAGGAAAGAATGAAAGGGAAGGGAAAGAAGTCAGGGGAGAAGAGGAGAGGAGGGAGGGAGGAAGGAAGAAAAGAAGGAAAGAAGGAAAGGGAAGGGAAGGAAGTCGGGGAGGAGCAGAGAGGAGGGAGGGAGGAAAGAAGGGAAGAAGGGAAGGGAAGGAAGTCGGGAGGAGAGGAGGGAGGGAGGAAGGAAAGAAGGAAAGGGAAGGGAAAGAAGTCAGGGGAGAAGAGGAGAGGAGGGAGGGAGGGAGGAAGAAAAGAAGGAAAGAAGGAAAGGGAAGGGAAGGAAGTCGGGGAGGAGCAGAGAGGAGGGAGGGAGAAAAGAAGGGAAGAAGGGAAGAAGGGAAGGGGAGGAAAGGGAATAGGGAGAAAGGAAAGGAAAGAAGGGAAGGGAAGGAAGTCAGGGGAGGAGAGGAGGGAGGGAGGGAGGAAAGAAAGAAAGAAGGGGATAGGAAGGGAATTTGGAGGAATTGCTAACAAGCCCTTGTCCCCCATTCAAATGCCAACCTTTAAGCTACGGTTGTAATTTGTCACACCCTCCAAAACTCTGGTTGCAAGTCCAGGACGAGCTGTGGTTGAATGCGGCGTGGCGTGAACTGACTCACCTCTCACCCCCAGCACAGAGGGGGTCTCTGCCAGGAGGTCCGCCAAGGAGTTGAGGGGTACGCTGTCCTGCAACCAAATCACCAAGACCGGTTCGGGGGGTCCCTGGGCTCCACAGCTGAGGTTGAACAGGGTACCGGCCGTGACCTCCAGGTCTTGGGGTTCCTCGGAGAAAAAGGGGAGGCCTGGCCACAAGAGAGAAGAAGAAACGGCTTGAACAAACGAGGATTGGTCAGATTCACAAGTGGCGCTAAACCGCCATTTGTGGAACAAGCCCCGATGGCAGTGCAAAGCCATGATGGGCTGGTTCACATCAGGGGTGGGATTCAAATTTTTTAACAACCAAACCAGGATGGCGTGGTCAACAATGTTCAAACAAACACATCTTGGCTTAGTTTTATATAGGAATCAAATCGGTGTTTATCAACTTTGGCGACTAAGCCATAGGTCTCGGGATATTGGATAATATTTGTGAAAAATAAATTATTTAAAGGGAATCCAACAGGGGTCCCCAAACTTGGCAACTTTAAGACTTGTGGACTTTAACTCCCAGAATTCCTCAGCCAGCATAGCTGGCTGAGGAATTCTGGGAGTTGAAGTCCACAAGTCTTAAAGTTGCCAAGTTTGGAGACCTCTGGAATCAAACCTCTGGGCCATTTATGCCGGTTGCTCCTTGAGGCTACCAGTAAATAAAATTCCCAATTTCTGAGCATGGTTGAGCCTCCTCAGGTCTTTACAGGGGACTAGCCCTCCCCGTGTTACACTTACCTTCTAACTGCAGATAAGCCTCTTCGGAGAAAAATTCAGATCCGTTGACTGAGGCCACACATCGGTAATTTCCCATGTCCGAGAGCTGGAGGGAAGAGATGCTGCAGGGAGGGGAGAGATGGAGAGGGAGGGGTGGAAGAGATGAGGATATTGAGCATAGATTGCGTTGTCCACGAGACTGGTGCATGCGAAATCCATGCCTGGGCTGGTTTATCAAACTTAAACCAGCGTTTCTCAATCTTAGCAACTTTCAGAGGCATGGACTTCAACTCCCAGAATTCCCTAGAGATCGCATATGTGTACTTCAACTCCCAGAATTCCCTAGATAGCTTACGTGGACTTCAACTCCCAAAATTCCCTAGCCAGCATATAAGGACTTCAACTCCCAGAATTCCCTAGCCAGCATATGTGAACTTCACCTCCCAGAATTCCCTAGCCAGCATATATGAACTTCAACTCCCAGAATTTCTTAGCCAGCGTATATGAACTTCACCTCCCAGAATTCCTTAGCCAGCATATATGAACTTCACCTCCCAGAATTCCCTAGCCAGCATATATGGACTTCACCTCCCAGAATTCCCTAGCCAGCATATATGAACTTCACCTCCCAGAATTCCCTAGATAGCTTACATGGACTTCACCTCCCAGAATTCCCTAGCCAGCATATATGAACTTCAACTCCCAGAATTCCCTAGCCAGCATATATGAACTTCATCTCCCAGAATTCTCTAGCCAGCATATATGAACTTCATCTCCCAGAATTCTCTAGCCAGCATATATGAACTTCACCTCCCAAAATTCCCTAGCCAGCATATATGAACTTCACCTCCCAAAATTCCCTAGCCAGCATATATGGACCATCTCCAAGAATTCCTTAGCCAGCATATATGAACTTCATCTCCCAGAATTCCCTAGCCAGCATATATGAACTTCACCTCCCAGAAT